AACATACACCCCAAAATTCGGACGGAATTTACTCCTTATCAACACTAATTTATTAGTTCATTCCAAGCCAATTTTAAACATGTTTTAGTTCACTTAAATTTAGTCCAAGTTCAATCCAACCCATCACCACATACTTGGACATTTTTCAAAAAATCATAACATCATAAATCATCACAAAAGGCATCCATACATAGATTTATCCCAAGCATCAAGCATATAACCATTGAAGATTATTACAACCCATGAAATAAACACTAACAAAATAACTTAAAAAATAATAATTTAAGACATTAATCAACAAAGAAAAAAATGAAACCTACTTACCTTGCTTTAGTTTCCTTAAGATTGTTTAGGTTCTCTCCTTCTTTCTTTCCTTTCCTTTCCTTTTTCTTTCTCTCCTCACTATCATGTTTTTCTCTCTTGTGTGTTACGGGTTTCTTTCTTTCTTTCTTTCTTTTTTTTTTGCCTAAACCTTTCAGCCAACTTCCACTCTTTCTATATATATATACCTCCCATTTCCTTTCCCTAAGTATAGATACATGTGGCTTAAATGTATTTGGTAAGGTGTAAAGTAAATGGATATTTCATGAAACAATGGACGGATTTGCATGGCAGCTACAAGTGAGCTGGCATGGTGAGTTGTCTTAGGGCATTTAATGAAATTGCTAGGTGTCTCACCCTTTTAATTAAGCTAAATAGACCATTATAGTATCTTATTTCATATATTAATTAAGCTCATTAAGTCCCTAAATTCGTTTGGTCCGAATTACACACACACATCTCAAGTCTGTTTGGAGAAGCTATCTTATAGGACAACCTCTTCTCCAACAGAAACGTTCCACTTATAGATGCCATTAAATTCTATGATTTTTATACGATAAACTCGAAATATCAAGGTAACACATATCCAAAATTTAGGTCAAAATACCCAACAAACGACTCATAATGAATTTTTAAAGTTTAAGGATAAATCTGCCTAGCAGGATTGTGTCTAGAATGATATGTACTAATATGGGTATAACGTTTTATATATAAATATAAAAATCACCAAATTTTATATAAAGGTAGTAGACACATAAATGAACAATTATTATTCTTTACGTTTTTCTGAACCATCAATCTAGCATCATCAAATAAATCCCACAAGATTCGGGCAGATTCTTCTCTCGAAATTCCAGCAGAATTTCGAATAACCCTCACCATAATGGATATAACTCTTAATGTATGGATCCAAAAATTATAAACTTTTATAAAGGTATATGCAACACATAGATGAAAAACTTTCATTCTTTAAGGTTTACCCAAAAATCACTCTAAAGTGCTCAAATAATTCACACAAAACTCGAGCAGAATATAGTCCTTAAAACACCGATTTTGCATATTTAATTTCTTTAATAATTAAACCATTAATCTTAAGCACAATAACTTTAATTTAACATAAATCACATATTTCAAGAATTAATTTCTCATGATGAAATGATAATTATACTTACTCTTAATATACATATATATAGAATTATTCTAATACACTTCGCGTTACGGATAAGGGTTTTTACGGGGGTTACACTTTCTTTCCGCAATGATAACAAGACTTGTTTGTCTTATTTTTTGTTGCATTAGAGCCTGAGAAATCTTGATTTTTTCTTTTCTTCCCTCCAGAATCGCTCTCTCCGAATGCTTCTTTCCTCCCGAATTTGACTTCTTTTCATCCACATAATTCATTTTGGAAATAGTTTCATAGTTCCTTTTTTTGTAAGTTTCGAGTCTCTTCTTCAATTCGAAGATGTTTTTCAACTCGTTCCAAAGTAAAGTCTTCGGTGGTATGAAGCATCTTTTTCCCGTAATCATTCCAAGTATGAGGTAATTTTGCAATTATAGCCCTTACATGGAGTGATTCGAAATCGAACTTTCAACTCTTTTAACTTCGATATCATAACGGACAAATCATGCACTTGATCCATAAAAGATAAATTATCAACCATTTTAAATTCAAAAAATTTCATAATGAAAAACTTATCCGCTCCTTGTTTTCAAGCATTGTATTTGAACTCCAACGCTTTCTAGATTTCTTTCGGGGATAAAACACCGGTGAAAAGATCATATAATCGATCCGATAGTATGTTGAGAATATGGCCTCTGCATAGTAATTCATCATTGACACGTTTCTTTTGTTCAGCCTTGAGTTGTTCGGAATCATCATCCTTTGGTTTTGGAAGATCCTCCAAATTCGGGTCCAAGCACATAAGCAATCTTTAGTGCGGTAAGCATGAATATCGGTTTGTCCTTCCATCGATCGAAATTTTTTCCATCAAAGCGCTCCAATTTCACCACATTCGATCCATAACTTGAAATGAACTTTCCGCCCTTGCTTCCATCCCACATGATAATCACCTTAAGATTGTTAGAAAATGTCAAAATGAACTTGAAGAAGAACGAAATATGTAGTGTTTAATGGTGTATAGAAAATACCTCATACCGTCCTTAAGGTGATTATTGCCTTCATTATAATGCTTGCAGGAATTTTAACAATTCACCTCTAGGATACAATTTTCATACATAAAGAATTGCGGGTAGTACTCTTGAAATTCATTTAAGAGAATATCTCTTAAAGTTGTAGAGTCTTAGAAGGAAAAGAATTTTGAGAGGAGAGGAGGATTGCGAGAGAATGTAATTAAATTCATCCTATGCGGTAGTCCCCTATTTATAGACTACCGATACCCTTTCATAACAAACATGATTGTTGATTCTAATAGTCATAATCCAACGGACATAACTGTTGGACTCTAACGATACATAATCGTTAGATTCTAACGATCATAAGGTTTGAAAGTCGTTAATAACTAACTAGTCGTAGCAAAAAATTAAAAGCATAATTAATTAAATAATTACGAATTTAATTATATTAAGAAATAAAAATAAATTTCTTAATCACACACGCACATGCAAAGTGCTAAGTGCTAGTATTTGATTATTTAAATATATATATTTATATATATAATTCCAACTAATTATCCTAGTTTTTCCTCCAATTTCTCTAATCAAATATTTGAAAGTTTTGCTAGAGGCCCACTTCATAAGTTCGCCTCTTATTTTCATTCTTTTTCAATGCAGGATAAAATCCCACTTGAAAACACTTTCAACTTTCAAATTTCCTTCACAATACACTTAACTTATTATCTAACATTCTTAAGATTTCTAACAATTTGAAGGTAAATATATGGTACAAGAATCTCTTCTTCAAGATTAAATAAATTTACTTCTTTTTTAATATATATATATAACCTAGCCAATTATTTACATGAACATCGCCTAAATCATTTTGCTGCATAAACTTAAGATGAATAAATTTCGATTCTCATAAAATTCATGATCAAAAGGCTCATGAGACATGACAAAAACAAAATAAGACAAACTTCAAAAAGGTCTCCAACTTATAAGGAAAATTTCAATTAGGTCCTCAACCATTTTTCCTCTCGATTAAGTTCTAATGTATTAATGTATTATCGGTAAGATCCTTTACTAGTTTCACATACCAAAAATAATTAATAAACACTTGAAACTTGCACAACATCTCTTTCTCCAATTTTTAATTGGATGAATTTACTAAAATCATCATTTCGTTTGATGAATGAATTACATAAAAAAAAAAAAACCGTAAATATTTTGTATTTCTTTATATAATCTAGTCTTTTGCATAACCAAAGAGTTTATAGTTCAATGATAGTAGTTTCTTATAACAAGAGGTTATCGATTCAAATACTAACATGCTAATTCCGTTAGAAGCCATAAATATGTGAGTTAAAAAAAATTTATCGCGTAAATCTCATGTGATTCATAACAAAAATCTTAAAGAATTTGATGGTTTTTCATTAAAAAAAAATGTGTTTCACTTGATTAATTAACAATTTTATTAATTAAAACTAACTGAAGTATCTAATTAAGAATTCATTGATACATTAGATACTTAATTAAGATTAAAAATTAATTGGAGACCTAACCGATATTTCCCAAAAGGTTGGGGACTTTTATGAGGTTTTTCCAAGAAAATAGCACCGCTATTATTTTAAGATTTCAGCGAGTCCTCATTTGCATGTTCAAAAACAAGTTGTAGGGAAGGCCAATTCAAAAAGCTAATAGCCCAAGGCCCAGAATCTAAACCTAAAAGGAAGATCCAACTCAATCTGAGCTAGGCGAAAACAGGCCCAAATCCCGAATCCAAATTATGAATTAATTAAATCAAATCTATCAACTTACCAAAAATTAATTAATCTTGCATGCCAAACCAGTATTAACGAAACGACACCGTCTTGCAGCATTCTCTTCTCCCGAAATCCCTACCCATCCAGCCCGCTTCCAGGAATACGCCAACCGCCGAAATTCAATTCTCCATCCAAAGTTTCAGTTTCTTCAATCCATTGCGCTTGAAACTTGGAAAAATCATGTGTTTCAGTGTTATCAAAACTTATCAATGCTACTTGCAACCCAATAATAGTGATGTTTTACAACAAAAGATCCATTAATAGTGTTCAAACTTTAATAGATTAGATCTTTTAGAAAAATTAGGTGTAAGTGAAAAAAAAAGCTTATATTTTTATATTTTTTTTATGTGACGATGAAATTAATGTATATTCGGATTGAGATTAATTTCGCTTTCAAACAATCTTAAAAAGAGCTTAAAGTATATTTTTTGAATGCTAGCCAAGTTTTTTTTTTTTTTTTTTTGTGCATGAATTTTTAATAAATCTCCATTTTATAACATTCCAAACTATGAAACTAATGACAGTTTTTTGAATTGATCGATGAAAAAGAACACTTGAAAATGATTAATTCTGATAACTAAAATGATCAAGAACTTACATTCTACATTATTCATTTATTTTACAGGTGAATGATTAAGCCACAAGACAAACAAACAAAAAACGTAGGTAAGTAGCTAGTGGTCAGAAAACTACACGTGACCAAAACTATTAATAACATGCAAAAATAGCTAGCTAGCTAGTTTACAAGGGTTTGACAACGAGTGGCAGACCATGGCTAGGCCTCAAGGAGAGAACAATGGCAGGAGCATGAATGTAAGTTGGAGAGATGGAGAACGAAAACCTAGAGAGAATTAAGGTTAGCACAATCTTATACTCCATCGTCGTCAAGTTCCTACCAACGCACATTCTTCCTCCAAAACCAAACGGCAAAAACCCCATCTTGTGTTTGCATCCACCGTACAGTGGGTCATCTCTGAACCTCTCTGGTTTAAACTCATGCACATCTTCCCCCCATAGCTTAGGGTCATGGTGCATGGCTACAACATCGATCCACATGTTGGTTCCATTAGGTATTATTAGCTCATTCACTTTAATATCTTCTCTTGCTTGCCTCTGTACGTTTGGTGCTGGTGAGTATAGCCTTAAAACTTCATTCATCACCCATCCCATCTGCAAACACACAGCATTCACAAAATATCAGTAATCTGTATGCCCACCCAAAAGCAAACATAAGCTTTTACGATAAGAGATTACGTGTTTAAATCTTAAATTTTTCATTTTTACACTTACACATTCAAGGCTTATAATAAGATTGATCTGTTAAGATTTGAATTCGTAATTTTTTATTACAAGAAATCATTATTATTGGGTTACAAACTCTTTGATTTAAATCTTAATATATTAATTTTGTTAAGAATCTTGAATGTGTGAATTAAAAAAATATATATATCTACATTATTTTTCGAGTTATCACATTTAATCAATCATTTTTCAAATTAAAATTTTTTATTTTTTAATCGATAGCTAAACTATTTCTTAAATCAAACTAACATAAATTCAATATTATTAAAAAATAATTATGATTAATTATTTGTTAAGGATGAAAATTGAATATTAAGCAAGATAAACGTAAGCTTGCTACCGTCATTTTTTGTGAGGTTTAATGGACGGTTAGAGGAATGTTGTCAAGTAGGCCGTGTCAGCTTTGGCCAGTCAAAGTCATTGGGGTTTAGACATGTGTCAGGTGGGAAGAAAAGGTGGCAATTAGTTAGTATGTGTGTGACAAAGACATGTCATCCTAAGTACCAGAAGCCGGAAGAGGTGTGCGTGTGGACTAAGACCATCTTGTGTTTGACCTTGAACATCGAGTTGAAATTTGGTAAATAAACACCAACTCCGATAAATAGTTTTCAAATTCAAATTTATTTTTATTTAACATATCTTTGGACCATTCCATTTCTTTTTATTCCTCTCGAATTCTCGTTCTACATCAAGAAAAGAATTCTGTTTGAAAAAAAAAAAGGTCAAGAAAAGAATTAGTAATTGTATAATTTTTCAAAATCTTTCAAAGAATTGTACAGCAATATTTTTCTTTTTGACTGCTGACCATATGATTTTTATATATGTTACTGCCTAGACTAAAAACAATTATAGGATTAATTTTATTTTCTTTTTTAATTTCATTGTCACAATTTAGAATAAATAGCCTTTATCCCATTATTTGGATGCTCTAGCTAGCCTCTATATATAGCTAGCTAAATCCAAGGAAGGAAAAAGGGGGCGTAATTTAAATAGTCGGTGTCACTAAGGTGTAGTGTGCCTAAAAATAAATAAATTAAAATGCATGTAAATTTTTACGTGTATATGAAGCAAACATCTTTTTGTTGGCGCATGGTCCCTGCTTATAGTCTGTATTCAATTATTCATCTCCAATTATATATAAGGTATTATGGGCTCCAACTTTTAGCCTAAGAATTTGAGATCACAGAAGTAAGAAACAAAAAAGCAAATTAAAACATGCATGCATGATCATAATAGTTGATTATGGGATACAACTAGCTAGCATATATCTTACCTTCTTAAGTCGAGCAAGCTTTGAGAAATCAATTTCTTTATCTCCTGTAACTTCTCTAATCTCCTCTCTCAATTGGTTTTGCCACTCTGGATGCATGGCCAAAAGCAGCAAGGTCCATGACAGAGCCAATGCCGTGGTCTCGTGGCCACCAAAGAAGAAAGTTTTGCACTCGTCGACCAATTCCCTTGTTGTTAACGTCTTCCCTAGCCGCCCATCTACACGATTCTCTTTGAGCAATAAACCTAGCAAATCGTTTTGAGGAAACCCATCATTTGAATTTTTACGAGCTGTTATGATTGACAAGAGGAGAGCATCAATTTCCTTTCCAAGTTTTTTGGCCTCGAGGGTTTTCTTAGGGCACATGAGCTTGCTAAAGGGCACCCCCACATAACGGTTTGATTTAAATAGAGTGATTTGCATTGCCCTTAATTTTTCAAACACTTTGCTCCCATTTTCATAGCTTATGCCGAAGCTTGTCTTGGCTATGATCTCTCCGGCCGTCGAGGTGATAGCTCTCTCGACGTCGATTTCTTGGTTACCGGAATTTATGAGGGCAGTCCACTTGTCCAGCATCTTTGTAGTGGACTCCACCATTAAGCTTGGCATCGCCTATAAGACAAGTAACATATATAATTTAGAATAAAACAAATCTCTAGCTAGAGATCTCAAAATTAAACCTGAAAAGTATCCCTATCAAGAAAGAATTATGCTCATCAAAGCCTATAATCTTGAGCCCAATTAAAACATAATGAGAAAAGGATTGCCACTAATTAGGACTTTTATGACAACGTGAAATTCTATCCTCGCATTCGTCCTATGAAGTTTAGACTACCAACCCTAGGTAGAAGCATATTCATTTATTAGGTAATCAAATTTCTAGAATCTTAGAAAAGGAAACACATCTTTTCTATTTTGGACAAGGTGATAATGTAATGAAAAGAAGAAAAAGAGAGATATAGGTTATAATGGAGGACCTTCAAGTTGGCTGGAGAGAATGCAGGAGTGATCACATGGCGGTGACGAACCCATTCATCACCTTCAACCATAACCAAACCATTACCAAACATGGGCTCTCTGTCATGTTTAAACACTTGAGGCTTTCCCCAACTCTTTCCCATCACTCCTGTAGTCATTTCTTTCAGGAACTCTGGATCTGCTATGTACAAAAATGGCTCTGTACCTAACCAGTAAATAAACACCTTCCCTGCAAAGGAAACAAATGTGCACGTATTATTATTCATTCTACATAGAAAATACCGAACAGTACTATGCATTTAACCGACAAGTAAACACAGATAAGTGTACACTTGTCTTTACAAAGGAAGCCTTGAATCTGTATGCTTGACACATACGGCAACAAATGTGCACAAGTTACAGGTAATAAGAAGACAAGAGTTCAGAAGAAGAAGAAGAAGGTCTTGAGCCTTACCATGAGACTTTTGCCATTGGGAGAAGTAGGGAAAAACTGTGGAGTGAATATCATTAGAGATTTTGGAGGACCCAGAGGAAGAAGAAGTAGTAGTATTAGTAGTAGTAGAAGAAGAAGCTGCCGCTGCTTCCCTACTAATCCTTTTGATTTCCTTATGATTTCCTAGAGGAAAATTTGGAGTTGGACCTCCAAACCCATTTTTCTTTAACTTAAGATACGCCCTAGCAGGCAAAATCCAGCAAGAAAACAATATTCTCCAGATTATGTAAAGAAAACAACCAAGAATGGCAAAAATAAGCACTTGAAATAGCACTCCCATCTCTCTTATCTTTCACACACACAAGAAAAAAAGCAAATAAAGGCAACAACAATATCTTTCCAAAGCAGCAGAAAACTAGAAATAACACTACTCTTTGCTTGCTCTAGCTTCTTGTTCTTGGTTTCGGAATGACAAGAAAGAGAGGAAGCAAATGGGTATTTATAGAATGAGACGAGGGGGTTCAAGAATGTCGGAGATTTGACTGAAGAAACTATCTGCACCATTCACAAGTTTGAACATATTTCGTTTTTCGTATTGTTGAAATTTTATAGTAGTCTTTTGTCGTGTACGGAATATTAATTTTTTTAGCTATTTTGTGGCTGGCATACTGCTCTTTTTGTGGGTTTGCCAACCTGCTTTTTTCTTAATCTTCGATACTGTCAAATTTCAAGTCTCTATTAGCGAGTAAACTATAAATTAGTCACTTTAGTTTTAAAAATAAATCAAATTAGTCACTTTCTTTCAAAATAAATTATTTAGTCCTTATATTTTTATGTTTTCTTATTAATTAATCTTTTTTTAATTTATTGTCATTTTAAAACAAGATTACTTTGTTTTCTAAACAAAATAATATTAAAATAAGCGTGATAAATATTTTTAGGGACTAAATAATTATCTTATTAAAAATATAAGGACTAATTTATAATTAAACATCAAATTGAAAATCTTATGTGGAAACCACTCCTATTCAGACAAATCCTGCACATATAACTACATAAATGTTTTCCACCTTCTGGATTTTTGACTGGCCAAGGCTGCAGCACACGTACTCTTGGAATGGATAATGAACAAACGTGTATATGTGTGCGCTTGATTTTTAAGGCAGTTTCTTTTTTGGATCACAAATTAGGGGCATGAAATATATATCTTTACTTTTGGGAAAAAAAGAGATTAAAAGTACTCTTGCATATTACTAAATATTTTCTTTTTTATTTCATATTTAGTTCACTTAATAATCAAAATTAAATTTTCACGATTTCAAATATTCATCCATTATGTACACTATTCTCACACTTTAAATTCAGTAAACCATATGCTAAATATATATATATATTCTTCTTTTTTACAGAGTAAAAAGATTATAAATTATTACGTTTTATCAACATTTTTTCCTACTTTTTTAAAATATTTTTTGAAACATTGTAATTGGATTCTTTTTTAAAATGAATTTGAATTAAGAATATTTTAAAAAAAATACACTGCTTAAAATTTTAGCAATAGATATTAATTATATATATCCTATTATTAGGGAGCAAAGCAAAGAAATTGATCAATGTCATTCCAATATAAATTTGATTAGGTTGAAAAAATAAATTTAATTTTGATATTAGAAACAACTCAAAAATACCTTTTCCACCACAAAAAAAAGAGAAAAAAAAAGAAAAAATCCCTTTTATTTTATCTTCTTCTTTTTTACGTGTAGAGGTTTTATAGTAGAATTTTTAGGTTATTTATGAAGTAATCAACAGTACTTACTTCATCTAAGAGAAAGATAAATATATAAAAGAGAGAAACAAAAGAACAAAAAAAAAAATTTGAACGTAAAAAAAAATTATCACTTTTAATAGATTGGAATATAATTTTTTTTTCGATCAAAAGTAGCTTACGAAATAAACACGGGGAGGATAATTATTCTGAGTTTACTATTGTTGATTACATAGGTTTATGTTTTGATTGCATAATCAATGGGCTAATCAAGAACATTGTTTGCCCTATTATGTCTTTAAGTATACATATATATATATTTCGTAATCATGACATGATGCAAGTAGGGTCCTAATGAATATATTTATTTAAGACAAGCTAGCTTGAAAGGTCCAATTATAAAAAGTCAAATAAAGTAAAGTTGTCGTATATGAATAATAATGTGAAAACTTGTTTTGTTTACGCGGAATTGACACACGAATGTTGCTAACTATGTTGAATTACTACAACTTTTTTTTCCTTTTGTACCTATAATTTGTCTTAATTAAGTGCAAATCATTCAAAAAATTTCAAATGCTAAAGGCACTATAGTAGATTTTTCTATATAATTTGATTTAATATATAATTAATCATCCCAAATGGTTAATAAAGTCAAATTGGATTCTTATAGGTGTAACTAAAATTATTTTCAATGTCTTGACGAAAGTAAAAGTTAATTGATGTCAAATTTTTTCTTTACTAAAGTTAATCTTTGAAAACTTGAATTGATGATATCAAAAGAATCGACCTTTATGACCAAATGGATTAAGGATATATGACTCTTCTTTCATAAACAAATCAAATGTTTGATCCCTCTTCACGATGCGGTGAAAATTTATTGAGTTGGAAGCTCCATTCAATGATTTAGACTAAGTAATGGAGAAGATTCTACATTTTCTTTTTCTTTTTCTTTTTTTTTAATTTTTTGAGGAGAAGGAAAATTATTCAGAATTAACCAAGTACTCATCCAACTGTAAAGGATCGACTAAATTAGCACTGATTAGGGAATTTGATTGGTTTCCTCTAATAAAAGTATTCACCTTTTATACCAAAAATGAAATGAAATAAAATATATTCGTTTTATTGCGAGGTAATCGAATATAATATAATCTATTATGTATATATAAAATGTTTTGTGTGTAAAGGTTGCCAAATGGAGACATGAATGAACTTTATTTGGTCTGTGATGTAAAATGTGAAAAAAATTCTTTGTATTTTATATTGAAAGTATGATCAAAAGATAATTACTATAAATGCAACTTTATTTAGAAGATAAGATTCGAAAGACAATTTATTAGGTAAGAAAAAGGTGCAAATACACATTGCATTTGGATCGTGAAAGGAAATTTATAATATTTAAAGAATAACTAATATACATGTACAATAGTTACTTTATGGATCAAATTTTGAGCATAGAGATAAGCATAAAAAAAAAAAAAATCACATCCAGATCCATCAAAAATAATAAAAAGATTTTCATCTTTACTCAATTTTTTTAATTTTCTCTCTCCTATATTCTCTTTCTTTTTTGCGTCTCTCTCTCTCTTTGTAGAGTAAGTTACACTAATTACTCATTAAGTATTATAAAATTTCTCGTGAATTTATGTTAAGATTTATTAGTGTGATGTAGTTTTATAGGCCAATTTGGAAGATAAACCTCCAAAGATATTTTATAGAGTAAATTATAAATCAATCCCTTTACTTTCTAGAAACAAATTAATTAGTCCTATTTGTTTCAAAAATCTAATTATTTAGTTTCTTAATTAGTATTGATCGTGTTTAATTTAATATTATTTTATTTCATAAAATGTCATTTTTTCTCATCAATCCTTCAATATATTATTACTTATTTTTATTTATTGAAACAAAAAAAATATTAAAAAGGAATAAAAAAAAATTAAGTTACAAAAAAATTAAAAATATAGAGACTAAATAATTAATTTTTAAACTAAAAAGGACTAAGTAATTAATTCGTTTCTCAAAACTATAAGGACTAGTTTATAATTTACTCACATTATTCTACACGAACCATGAAAGATAAATTTTCCAGAAAAACTTTGAATAAGAAATTTGTATAACGTTTTTATTTTTAATTGTTTTTCGAGAAAGAGAATACTCTAAAGATCTCCAAAGGAAAAATTTTATAATAAACAAAGAGTAACTAGTGACATAGAAAGTAATTACTCTATGGATCTATTTGGAGAAGAGAAATAGACATATTGAATTACATCCGGACCCATCAAAAGTGATAAGAAGATTTTTACGTTTTACTCATTTTTTTAAAATTTTCTCTCTCCTATTTCTTTCTCCACTTTTTTTTGTGTGTCTCTCTCTCCTCAATATAGATACATGAAGTAACTACTCGTACATGTCACTAGTTATTCCTTGTGTATTATAAAATTTCTTCAAAGAAGATAGCTAGGATCCATCTATTCTTTTCAATTCTTTCAATTTTTCATTTGATTAGCTTGGAATTAGAGAGTAAAGCAGTGATTATATACAATTGATCTTGCTAGACATGCTCTTAATTTATTAGGATTTGTGATTTTGTCCATATATACCTACGTCAGTGCATCCCCAGATTTCATTCTTGTAGGTAGCTGCTGTAGATTTTCAACCAATGAATTAATATTGAAAATATTAATTAATTAAACATAAAGTCAGAAGATCAGATTCTCAAATTTTTAGGTGAAAAATCTTGACTTGGAATATCTTTAATTCATCATCAACTAGCCAAACCAAATGTAAATACAAATCAATAGCAGCTTAATTTCGCAACATTTCTTCTTCTTTTCATATAGTTTTTTTTTCCTTTTTTTCCACCAGAGTACTGAACTCAAAGAAACCGATTTTTTCTTTGTTTCTAGGAAAAAGTCAACTGCAAATTATTTTGAGCATGCTAGCTAATTAATTGGATGCGGAAAAACATTTATTTTTCTTTCTAGTCCATTTAATATAATATAAGACCGTAGTATTTAGGTTAAAAAAAATATTAAATGTATTGATATCTTGAATTCTCTTCTTTTGAAAGAGAATCACATTCCCAACTTTTTGAGCAATCTAATATTCAGGGACCTCGAAAATTAGAGTTTTCTTGGCTCACCAAACGTAAGAATATTTGGCATTTCGAATTCATTTTTTTCATAACAAACACATCCTATATAAGATATAGACCATATAGAACCAAAAAAGAATACCGAACCCATTGGATGGTGATGAACAAATAATAAGCATATATCTGCCTAATTTCTTCCATTCTTAGGGGACAAAGAATTTGATTTTTAGACCAGCATCTTCCATTTCATGGGACAAACGAATGTAATTTTACATCTTTATGTCAGCTTTGATAGGAAAGTATACCAATGCAGGGAAGCAAAGGTGGCCGATCAAAAAAAGTTGTCGTAGGCTGGTAGTCACTTTGGGCAACAATAATAAGCAAACTAATGAGAAGAAAAAAAAAACAAATGCTGACTTTGATTAATTTCTTTCTACGGCAAGAATTTTGGTCTAGCCAATGTGTCTTATCTACATTAGAA